GAAGTCTTCAGGCTGTTAGAAATGCTTTTCCTGTCTTTAATTCAAATATCCCAAGAAGCATAGAATAATAATAACAATAATAATAATAGAATAAATAACGTAAATAGAAGGGAAGATTAGAAGAAAGTACTATGGTATTGAAGAATATACTTTTTCGGTAGATTGTGACTGATTACTCCTTCCTTCTGTCACCAGTGAAAACACAACGACAGAACAAGATTAAATCGACATCATGCATAAGATAAATTGCAGTAACTGTGTAAAACATGACATCGGTCAAAGTGGATGTTCTCTTTGCCTTCACATCGATGAACATAAACCAGGTGTCAAAATATACGATAACTATTCCCTCATATCAACGCATACACACAACTGTAGATACCAATCAGTGCAGAAAATTGTACAAATCGGTACGCATCATTATTGAACAGAGCGTAGAATGGCAGTCAGATATCTCCTTTAAGTTCAACTACTTTGTGAAAGCATTCGATAGCATTGACTGTGAAACGAACTGGGAACTACGTCAGTCACCATCAATGGAAGAAATCTAAAGGAAGTCAGCAATTTCACTTGCTCACACAGCATCGTTTCAACTACAGACAAGCAGAACAAATAAGGATGTTTAATCAGGGATCAAAAATGCAAAAGAGGCATTCATTACTTTGAAATCAGTGTGGAGATGAACACAAGTAAGGAAATTTGAGTTTTCAACACTTACGTCCGGTCAGTTCTTCTATGCTGTTCACAAACTTGATATGTGCGTCGCCGAAGACGTTCCCAACAGGCTTCAAACTTTTATCAACAGCTGTCTTCAATCCATAGTGTAAATGAAACGGCCGGAAAAGATAAGGAGCAAGAAACCCTGAGAACGAAGCAACCAAGAACCACTACAGAGTAAATTTATTTGATAATGTATCACAGTGTTATTTACTGATGACATGTCGAGCACAATTTTTCGCTCATAATCACATAAGGGTGATATAATGTGACAGTCAGCAAAGCCTTGGGCTTGAAACGTCTTCAGTAAATAACACTGTATAACATTGTGAGACTTTATCAAGTAAGTATTCTTCATAGTGGAATCATACTGTAACACAGTGCCCAAGTTCTATTCTTACAATTAAGAACCAGTCACCCAATAAATATTGGGAAGGAAATGGAGACAGATTACACATACGTTGAGAAGACCACTGGGTGCCATCCAGCTCCAGTCCCTAGAGTGGAACCCGTTTAGTGAACGACGAGTTGGGCATCCAAATTCGACATTGAGTCGACTGTGTCAGGAGGAAATGAAATCTTATGGACAGTTGTGAAGTCAACTAAAGAGGACCTCAAAGAACATTATGAAATGGAGATGTCATCCTTGGAACCCAAAGGAATAGTAATAGCTCATTATAAAGGTCTTCCAGCTGACAAATGTTACGGAATAATAAAATCACTTAACTTTTTCAGAAAAAATATTGTTTCAGGCGATTCCAGTAATTTCGGAATTCCCATTAACGCATTTAGAAAAAACAACAGATTGAGCGAAGAAATATGTTCCTTTTCAATTAGTTCCTCATCGTCGGTTGGCTCTACACTAACATATAGATTTTACCAATCAAGTGGTTATTTTAGTGAATCAGTTTTAGGTGTAGGCGACGGTGAAATCAAGAGGTTAAAGGTCATCAAAACAATTAACTAATAGATGTTAGTAACAAGATATCTAAGTTTTAAAAGAGCGGTGAAAATTAATTACCGAATTCAAGATAGGTTGATTCTTAGGCATTAGCAACAAGCTATTGCATAATCAAGAAATTTGTAAAGTAGCAATCATGACTAAGAAGAGTAGGATGACTTAGAAGGATTACGTAAAATACAAACAAGTTAACAGAATTACATAGAAGTGGAAAAATTGTAAAAGTTAACAAAGCGAAAAGATGGTTATAAGGGTTACATAATACATATTATGTAGTTGGACAAGACAAAGAAAGGGGCTGTACAGACTTCTTTTGAACACGGATTTGGCTTGTTCAGATGAATTCCGATTACCTCTGTTGTATTTAAAAGTCGTACTCGTAGACCATGCGAACAGTAATGCATGCCCACGTCCCCAACAGGGTTTGAACCTAGGACCCTTCGGTTCCAACGCCAGTTCTTTGTCTATTCAGTTACTTGGGCTGGAGTCCAAAGATCTGTGAGTTTTAAATTTGTCAATGCTTTATATAGTTCTTCGGACGACGACTGCCTTCACTGAACACCGAATTCACCTTGAAATAGTACACCACACTCCCTGGTTTTCAAAGATTCACTAACCGATGTGTGTTCATGACGAAATTTACATTGAATATGATCCAAATCCCGGAAAGACTTATAACATAAATATCGACCTCCAACTCACTGGTGGTTACTGGATAGAAGTTTTAAAGCTGCAATGATAAATCATGGCCACTGGAGTCTTCCATTTCGAAGTGAATTTGACGCTCATTGATGACACTGGTTGTCGACAGCACTATATCATGAATTAACAAAAGTCATTGAATTCTTACCTAAATGAATGAATGGTCAAATAGCTGGTCTGGAAACCCGAAGGTCCTGAGTTCGACCCCTGGTCAAATCGTGGATGAGCACTGCTGCAGAGTCCCAAAATAGGATGAAACAGTTGATGAGTGCTTCCTAGTTTCAAATGATTCTCTAAATGATGTTCATTCGTGACTAATTCTACACTGAAATGTAATTTAATGTAATGATTCTTTTTATAGACACTATTTATATTGGCTGATTTCTTCTTTTCCCTTCATCAGTGAAAAAATTAATACCGCAATTAAATTACTTAAAATATTGTTATACTCCACAACAACGTCAAAGTTTTATTTTCTATGAGTATTTCGCAAATGTAATTTTTACAAACTATTTACAAAAGTTGATTTGTAAGGATTAGATTTGTTTTTACCAGTTTGACCGAGGATTGATATCAGTTAGAGAACAGCTGTCCAGTACTCCCTGGTTTTCAATGGTTCTCTAACTGCTACCAATCCATGGGCAAAGTCGTAAACACAAACTATTTAGTTGAATCTACTTAAAAATTAAATAAATTGTGTCATGAAAGAAGTTCTATTCGATAAGGCAATCAATCTCCTGAGTTTTCCCTTCTCCCATTCCCACCTCTGCTTCTCCCCCTCTCTTTCGCTGTAGGTTACTGTCTTTGATCTCCAATCATTACTGTCGTAGCTAACGGGAAGTGGGTTGTCACTCTTTGAAGCGGGCATATTCTCCTCTTAACTTCTTTAGAATTCAAAACAAGATTTTGAGCGAACAATTGTTTTCGATAACTTCTTCTTCAGGCTCTACAGTTATAAATCCATGAATAATAGGGTACATATAGCCAATAAAGGCAAATGAAAATAATATCAGAAACTGTATTGGGGTGCATGTGTAAGTTGAGGTGATAGTCCATTAGTTAACATAATCAATCAAATGTGTATAGGGTGTATAGTCAGAAAAATGTGATGAAGTGTGAATTAACAATTGGGTGATATAGTGCTGTTTTATAGTCAACAGAATACAAGTGTCATTGGGGTGAGAGAAATGCGATAGCCACAAAATACATACAAACACACATTAACAATGGGGACACTGAATGTGAGGGCTGACCGATAATGTCTAATGATAAAATAAAGAGGCTGAATAGTAAATTGTAATAAGATGTTACAGAGTTGGTAGGCTTAGTGTAAAATCACAAAGGTTGACAAAATTAAGGGTAACAATGAGGTGAAATAAACTGGGTGAAGAAATGGATAATAAAGACATGATATCACAGAATGATAATAATGGTAATAGTAATACGGAAAATTATGATCCTGGTGACCTTATAGTGGGCCAGGGTAGACAGAGAGAGTGAATAAGTTTTTTCTGTACACATAAGTCTGGTCTTTCTCTATTAATCTCTAAAGCCTCAGCTATGGCTAGGAGACGTAATCGTGTGCCTTTGGGGAGGTTGTTTGGTACTCGATACACAACTGTAAATGACTCTTCTACTTTGATGCTGTGCTCGCTATCCACTAGATGAGCCAGGATTGCACTATTTAATGATTTGGTCGCTCTTTTCCCAAGCCAGACCGGGATATGTTCACGGGTGAGTAAAGATAAATTCCTTTGGGTACGACCTATATAACTAGCTCCACAGGAGCAGTTGAATTTATATACACACATTGATGTCGTCATTTTGGGTAATCTATCTTTAATGCACGGTGTCAATATCGGTTTGGTTGAGAAAGTGATATGCAGTTTTGCGGCACTGAAAGTTCTTTCAACAGCTCTCGTTAATCTACGGTTTAATATGTCGCTGGATATATCGCCTTTGAATTGTAAATTTAAGTAAAGTTTTTTCTTACTTACTGTGTCTCGTTTAGTTTTATAAAACAACACTATATCACCCAATTGTTCATTCACACTTCATCACATTTTTCTGACTATACACCCTATACACATTTGATTGATTATGTTAACTAATGGACTATCACCTCAACTTACACATGCACCCCAATACAGTTTCTGATATTATTTTCATTTGCCTTTATTGGCTATATGTACCCTATTATTCATGGATTTATAACTGTAGAGCCTGAAGAAGAAGTTATCGAAAACAATTGTTCGCTCAAAATCTTGTTTTCCCTTCTCCCATTCCCCCCTCTCTTTCTCTCCCTCTCTCCCTCTTAACTTCTTCAGCATTAAAAAAACGTATTAAAAGTGTGTGTTGGGGAAGAATTTGTTGAAATTATCCAATGAGTACTTAAGGAAGAAAAAAACAAATTGAGCGAAGAAATCTATTCCTTCTCAGTTTATTTTCTGAATTGACCAATAGAATTTCAGTGATTTGATTAGCGTAAAATTTTGCTATCTAGAAAATATTTCCACTTACTTATAAATCCATTGGTTATTTCATTCTCCTCTTAAAGTCAACTTTTACCCCATAAAAAACACCTTAATTTCTATTATATGAGATTATCGTACACAGAATAATGAATTCATTTATGATATCATCTCTAATGAATTCGCAAACATCATGTACTAACAATACTAACAGTACTTGTAATACAAATGTTATAGTAAATTTGAATTCGATTCATTCGATGTTCACTGATCAACAGTATGAAAATATTTTAATGAATCATAATAATAGTAATAATAATAATTATAATGATGTCCCTATCAGTAATTTATATCAAAGTATCAATTCTTCAGATTATTTAAAACAAATTGAATGTATTTCATATTATAAAAGTTATTTACATTTATTTTTAACAAAATTGAATCAACAGTATTCAATGTCCAATAGATTGATACTTGATCATTTACCCTGCCATGTAAATAAGAATTCACAAGAATCGGAAAGTATTCATATCAATACGAGAGAAGAATATTTGAATAAAAGTAGGTGAAGTTAGTACATGTGAATGAAGTATTTCAGTGTTGATTTTGATGTGTGATTTTTTACCGCCTGAAATGAAATTTAAAGATCATTTGAGGAATTCAAATATCTTAATTTTCATGAGTGTCATTACTGATTGGTAAAAGCTAATATCAGTGTAGATTTTGTCACAAAGGGAAAGTAGTTAGAGAATTATTGAAAATCAAAGGACATTGGACAGCTGTTCCCTTTTCATTAGTGTACACCAATAGCTTCAGAAGGGATTAGACCCAAGATCTCCAGGTTACAAGCCAAGCTCGTTGAGAATACCTACTATGAAACTATTCTTAACTCCTACAAACCTGGAGTCTGAATAATAATTATTTAACTGCTCGCTAGCGGCTGACTTTAAGATGGATGTCCTGAGGTCCTAACAAGAAGTTTTTGCCGGGGGGATCCACAGTGTCTGTTGCGAAGTGGGTGATCATTTATGCATTCGTTAGTAGTTGAGTTATATCGCAAATTAGTGTATGTTTGAATTCACTGGTATTAGCAAATACAGAAAGCTTGACTGGTGATTAGTTTCAGAACGTAAGGGTATTTTTTTAAAGTAATTTTCCCCTCAGTTATTTAGTGTTTTCTCCCAGTTAACAGGTTATTGTTTATTTCCTGTCATATATTTTCTTCTGTAACAGTCGAACTTTGGAAAATCACTGTAGTCAGTCAGAGAGTGAGTAATGTTAAGTACAGAATGGACCATTACTTAATATTAATATTGGTTATGTATGCATCAGTGATTCAGAGACGGAATACCCACCCGACTACATTTGATATCAGAGCTCGCTTCCTGGTTGACGCATTCCTACCCCTCGCCTAGCCAGCAGTAAGCTTTGAAAAAAGTAAGGTTTGATGTAAAGCTAGAAACCTTACTCCGCAAAAACAAGCAACACCACCGCCTCTGAAACTTCAAATATCAAAACTTAAATGGAAAAAAACATACCATCAAAGTTTGATAACCAGGCATCTCCAGGTGTCACAGGATAACACTATCTGAAGACTCATCCCATCTTGTCATTGTAACCGTAAAACCGACAGTTAACTATTTGTGACATGGTGTCAGATGAATTTTTCAGATTTGTACTGAGAAGCTGTAAAACAATGAAGGCAGTCTAAGGCAAATATGCCGTCTCTTATATTCTTCATGCCGAAAGGAATTCCTAACTGACATACAGTAATAATTGTGTTAAACCTTATGCATTTCATAAGGCCTAGCAGTTTTGAGCTCGATTTCGTATGTTGTTCTGAGGAGTCTCAGATTGGGACAAAACAGCCTTTTGTTGTTTTATGGTATTCTAGTCATTTTGTAGCTAATATTGATTAGCAACAAAGATTATCTTGAATAATAATTTTACAAGGGACTGGTTTTGACTATAAATAAAATTCAGTCAATCTGTATCTTGTATGAGACAGATTGGAATACGTAGAGGTAACAAATCAGAAATATGCGAGAATCGAAAAGGCGAGATACGCCTTCATCCACCTGAAATCAGTTTGGAAATCTTCTACACTCAGCCAGCATTAAGAACAAGATTCGGTTTTTCAACACAATTTTCAAGTCAGTCACTTGGCCAGCGTGTCATGGAAAGGATTTCCAACAACTTATATACTTTCATCAACAGCTGCCTACCTCGCTGGCTCCTTAGTGAAGATCAAACGGCAAGCCAGCCAGAAAGAATTAGCAGGAAGAAACTCTGTCTGGGAAGAAACCAACCAAGAACCGACTGCTCAACATATATGCAGAAGAAAATGGAGATGGGTTGGACACACACTGAGTATACTATTGGATGACATCGCACTCCAGGACCTTGAGTGGAATCCCAATGGGAAGTGACTAGTAGGTCGTCGATGCGAGAGTGACATGGAGGAGATCGTGTGTGTTGGAGGAGGAGATGAGAGATTATGAGCAGTGGTGGACCCAGCTAAAGAGGATGGCAGAAAGCAGGTGTGTTTTTGGAGCCTTCTGTTACACTTAGAACCTAAGGGAATGATTACATGATAATAGATGCTTCTATTTGGTGCAGAATTATTTTATCATTTTCAATTAATATACCTTCTTCATTATATTATTCAATTCAATCTCATACAGCACAGAATACAGGATGTTCGAGTTTCATGAAGTATCTGTTATCATTGAATCCCCATGTAGACACAAAAATGTTTTGAAATACTCTGCCTCTGACAGTTCATTGAAAAATGTTACAGTGATTATTATTACTGTGGAAAACAGAACCTTTTATCTGTAGTCTTTTTAGTTGACTTCATGATTGCCCATATAAGCTTTCATTTCCTCCTTAGAAGATCTCCTACACATCATTCTCGAATCAACGCCCAAATCGTCGTTTCCCATGCAGCTTTCACTCAACGGCCTTACGTGTGATGTCATGCAACAATCTTTTCAGCATATGTCCAATCCATCTCCATCACCTTATGCCTATTTAAATATTTCGAGCCAGAAGAGGAAATCATCGAAAAGGATGTTCTTTGCTCAATTTTTTGTTTTATGCCTATTTGTTGGTTTCTTTTGGTGCCAAGGTTCCTCGTAGTCAGTACTTTACTGAGAATAGTGTTCTTTTCAGAGATTCTGAAATTCTTCTCTTAAGGATATCGCGAGCTAAGTCTCTCTTGTAATCCATTTTCATGTAAAGTTTCTGTTTTGGAACAAGTAATGTTCCGTTTGATATTCTTCTGGATGTATCTTGGTGGGTATCCATTTTAGATAAAGGTTTCTTTAAGAAGATTCAGTTCCGCTTCCACGGTCTCAGAACTGTAGAGATGCGTCGAATCCGAGCTGCAAAGGATTTAATTAGATTTCGTTTTCGTTCAACAGGCACCCGACTGTAGAAACTTATTAGTTAACCGTTCCAAGTAGATTTTCTATGAACTAATCTTCTTTGTCATTTCATCTGAAAATCGCGTTCCCACTTGTTCTCTTCTATTCTTCTTCTTTGAAAACTTACACAAGATTATCCCAATAATCCCCCCCCCTTCCCAGTTAATCAAGTATTTAATTATTTTACACTAATGAAGGTAATCCATAAGAGTGGAATTTAATTTAGACAACCTCACTTTGATACATCATTTGGAAATAAGTCAAACGTGGTGTTTATTAATTTATCTCTCTGATTATGTATGTATACGTATATATATCTGTGAGTGTACACTCCGGTGTGATGTAATACCATTATGTAACGCCATGTTCAAATGAATTCAATCGTTTGAAAAGTATACATAAATCCGTAAAAATAATTCTATAATTAATTGTGTTTCGTTGATGAAAATAATTTACCATGATTACGGTGAACAGTTCATTGATTCTTCTTTTAACCTCTTCAAACAAATCGAAATATATTTTAAACACTAATCATTTATTTTTATTGATAAACTTGAGATGACTTAGCCTATTAGTTTAGACATTCCCATTCCACCTACATCAGCTTGGAAAATTAGAGAGTGGCTCAGTTATCCTTCATACGGTTAATGTAGCTCATTGCCTGCTGCATGAAAAGAAAACAGCTGTGCTTTGAGTGACTGGATTATAACTAGCTAACCCTCAGGCGAGCTCAGGGAACCTGTCTCTTGGAAAAAAACTAAGTATACGTGATAAACTATTTAAAATAACTTATTCTCATGACAAAATGTACACTGATGATCAGTAGCAATAGATGGCACATATTAATAATAATCACTTTATTCCACAACAATAACAATTTACAGAATGGAATTTTCAGCGTTTCTTTTACATATTGCAATGGTTTAGCTGTGTTTATAATTATATAAATGTATAAAATGTTAAAATATTGATAGTTAATAGGAAAAAATAAAAACCTCAACAAAATCACACCATTGCTAGGTCATATAGAATAATAAATAATTAATATGACAAATAACTCATGCAATAATATGCATCATTACATTTTATAGTTTAGTTAATGATTTAAAAGTTGTAAAAGTTCTTTTCTGATATTTGTCTCTTCACACAATACTCGTGCCAAATATGGTACAGTCGAATTTTTATATTTTGTACTACGAGCATAAATGTTTATGAAATTTCTTCTGGTCTTACCCGAAGAGATACAAGGAAACAATTGTGAATAAAGAGGATGTTCACTATCAGACAAGATAACTTTAGCTAAGCGTTTACAAGAATTCATATGCCTATTGACAACAGTGTCAGTTAGGTGAGTCAAAGGCATAGCACTGACCCTACTTAGAGCCTTCAATGTTCTTCGTAGTATTATATGGTCTTTCTTGAGTAGCCCAGGGAAGAATAATGGAGAACAATAAAGGATGATGGGCAAAACACATGAATTAATAAATTGTATGAGAAGAGGTTGGGTTATACCTGAGTGCCTCAACTTCTTTATGTAATAAGTCAGACGGAAAACTTTCTTAGAAACTATAAGAATATGAGACGACCAGCAAAGGTTTGAAGAGAAACTAATGCCAAGATAAGAAACACTTGACTTACTCTCTATCATGGTACCATCAATATTACAACAATCATGAGATTGGATCAATCCATGCATGTCTTTTTTACTTCTCAAGCTGAAATCAACAGTATTATATTTAGTTGGATTTAGTTTAAGACCATTTGAGCCAGACCAATCCTTAACTTCAGCTAGGAAGCCATTCATATGGGAACAATCCGATGTGGAAACTACAGGGACAGAAACGGTCAGATCATCAGCATACTTAATGAAGTTAACTTTAGGTGAGTTCGGAAGATCATGCAAAAAGAAAGAGAAAAGAAAGTACTGCACCTTGAGGCACACCACTTTCAGTTAGCTGAGAAGTGGAGCGCTTTCCAGCCAAAACAGTGGATTAGTTCATATGAATAAGTAGTTGATTACTACTCACATCAACCAGTAGAGCTTATCAGATAAATAAATGTGATTTAAATACCGGACGACCGTTCCACTTGTTTGGAGCCCAACCTCATCAGTGGTGTGCCTCGTTGGATTTTAGCTCAGAGAATTGAATCGGTCCAGAACAGTCGAAATCTCAATAACTACTCGGGGAATTGGTAAACAACACTTTGCAAAAGAAATTTTGGTAATATTTCCCCAGCTACTGTATAACTTGTAAATCATAAATTTTTTTTAGGTATACAATAACACTTAGTGGTTATGACGACTGATTGGCTATAAATTGTTTGATGTCATGAAGTGTCTTTAACTAATATATCCTTATTTTAAGGTTTAGGCTTCATCAAGGATCAATAAATAAGTAAATAAATAAGAGAAGCTTTAAAAATCAAGAAGTAATAAACAGTTACTTCAGCCGAGACTGCAACTCTTCGACAGCTTCCATTCAGGACCATATACATTCTGAATTTCAAAGTCGTTCTGTTGTTAAGAGTTGAGTAAGCTGTCGTTTCCAACTTCCGTCGACTTGTGATGTAATCTCAGCGTCATGCCGTGCTATGGATACGTAATTCTCCTTACACCGACATTTTTCTTAATGTTATCATTGGTATAACATACGAACCTTAGTTACCAATGGTAGACGTTTTTGTATCCTACTAGTTACCATTCTCAGAGTGTATTCTGAAAATAAAGTGAATTTTTAGTGAATATTGCGTCAACTTGAATGTAATCCGACTTTGACTGAAGAGTGACATCTTTATCTGTACATCTGCATCAAAAATAAGCTTAATTAGAAATACTTAGCAAAATTTGGTCAATTTAGGGGGAAGATATAACTTTTATTTCCCTTAATGAAACTGAATTAAGAGAGAAGAACAGCAGTTTGTGCAGAATAAAATAGTACCATCAGTTATTTCGTTGACTTCTCATCAGCTCAGCTGCTTACAGACTAAAGACATTATTAAGTTTATGTATAGAAACGATTTTAACATACTTACTCAAAGGGAGTTCATTTTTAAACAACTTGTATTGTGCAACAACGAAAGTCATGCTTCCTACCTTCTTGGATTATTCAGTGAGTTACATAAAAAATATTGGATTTACAATATGAAACATAAAAATGACGCAAAGTCTCACTTCCTTGACATTGCCATGCACTGCCTGGAAGATGGTAGTACCTAGAGATCAATTTACAGAAAGCCTACATGAAATGGACAAAACTAGCATTTTAATAGTTTTGGTCCAAATAGCTATAAACGAGCCCTAGTCAAGACTCCGTAATATAGAGCTAGGAGAATATGCTCTAGACAGAGATCAGAGGAAGAATTTATGATTTCCGAAAAGATGTTGAAAAATAACAGTTAACCTCAGAGATCAATTAACAAGTATGGGAGATGTGAAGGCTGTAAAGCCAAGCACATCACAGCAGGAGAAAAGCCTGTCGTCATTCAACTTTATTTTGAAGGTGATAGTATTACAAGAATAGTCAACAGAAGATTGAATACCTTAGCAGCCAGAACCTATCCAGCAGCTGAGTTGGTTCCCGTCTGTCGGACAACATGCTCTTTGGTGCAATCGAAATTTGACAGATACCCTTCTCATGTCAAAATAAAATCGTATCTATAACGGAGTTATACTCTACCACAGTCTTCAAGTTTTATACTTCTCATGTTAACCCTAACTGTGGATACAAATTTACGTGTATCTGTAGGAGCAGTTACACTAGGATCACAGAAAGAACGGTACACCGCCGATTTTCTGAACATCTGCCGAAAAGTCTACGTCTCAAGGGAACAAATGCTTTCAACAGTGCCATCTCCAGGCATCTCCTTGATATGGATTATCAGGTGGACTTCACCAGATCGTTCAGAATTGTGAATAGGCAAAAGAGTTCAGTTCTCTTCAAGTTTACCGAAGGAATCTCTATCAAGTGGCTAAAACCCAATTTATGCATTCACAAAGAAGCAGTTATCAATCTTTCCTTTCCTGGTAACTGGATGTTTTCATCCTCTCTTTTGTTTGATTGCATAGCGCCCAAAAATTCTATTGTGTATGATTATTATTGTTTTGGATAAAGTGATTGTTATTAGTGGTACCATCGTATGCATATATTGATTTTTTGTTTAAAAATGAACTTTCTATGTAAGTATGTTAAAATCGTTTCTATACATAAACTTAATAATGTCTTTAGGCTGTAAGCAGCTGAGCTGATGAGAAGCCAGTGAAATAACTGACGGTACTATTTTATTCTGGTTACAAGGCGAGCTGGCCCGTAGACATTTAAGCCACTGGGACCTGATCCATCGGCCAGTCCATGAATTCTAACTTCTGCCAATTCATGATATAGCGCGACCACTTCGAAATGTCTTCTTCGATGAGTTACTGTCTTCACCTTCAGCCTGCTGTAGCCTACTGGTCACGGCTTCCCACTAGAACCCCAGTTCATAATGAAATCCTCCAACCAATCAATCATAGTCTCATGTTTTGCTATTTTTTCGAATTCAAATCTTGAGTGTAATCCAATCAATAAATCAATAACTTTCTTTTGAATATTACAGGTATAAATTCATCTGGAATGGAATCATCCTCGATTGAACACAATGAGTTCATTAATGATTTACCAATCAATCAATTCAAACATCATGATGTTCAATGTTTCAGTGATAAAGAAAATTGTTGTAATAATAATAATAACAACAATAATAATACTTTTCAAGAATTTAAACAAGTCAGCAGATGCAATCAATTAAAGAAATCAAAAAATCATTCTAGAAATCGTACAGCATTCACAGACTATCAGTTAATATGCTTAGAACGTGAATTTAATCAATTAAAATACTTATCACGTATTGATCGAATCCAGTTGGCGCAAAATTTGAATTTAAGTGAAAAACAAGTGAAAATATGGTTTCAGAATCGTCGTGTTCGTTGGCGGAAAAGAAAATCCTTGGAATCGAAGTAAGAGGAAAAACGAATGATGGAAAAAATTATTCGAATTTTTTTCTACAGAAAAGTTTTTCTTGATTTTGTAAAGAACAAAGATTTTTTCAAGAAATATTTTTGTTTATTTTCGTTTTAATAGAATTTTGTAATTTGATTTATATCAATAAATGTTTAAAATACTTTACATTCATATTTTAAAACAAAATCATACCGGGAAATATGATAAGTAGTAGTTGTTAGGATGGCATATTAACAGAGGGATGGTAGTAAATAGGTGAAACTATTCTATATTAGCGGATTTTTTCCATTATTTTCATAGATTTCCTTGGTGTCGTCTAGTTATTGATTTTATGTGCTCACTTAACTATAAAGTAAACGTCTTTCATTTTCTAGACTTCGGAAGGTCTTCGAAAGGAGTACCGTTGAAAAGCACAAATGAATGGGTATTTTTTTTTTAAATTACAAACGCACTTAGGGAAAAATGGCTGTTTTGGAATTAGTTGTGTTCTCTGAACTGGTTTGTTTAATTGCTAAGCCTTCGTCGTCCTTCTGGACAACAACTTCAGCGCAAGTTTTAGCATGAAGTGGATTAAATGGATATTTCAATAGAGTAGTGTAGTATTGTGGATAGACTTTAGTACTGACCGTTAAAGAACAAGACAAGAAGTCTTTATGAAAATTAGTGTTTAGCTTAATAAAATTTCTGTTTTCGGGGAAAGGATAAATAAAAGACAAGAATTTCAAAGGTATAGAAACTGCTTGATCACTAAGATGTCATTATGTAAAGAAAATTTACTCAAGACCATGGTGAGTTGATGATTCAATGATAGGTAGTTTGGTTGCCAACTACACACGTGGTCTGGATTCAATTACCGGCTGACTCATTCATCAGCCTCACTTTACTGGTAGCAAGTCCGGTAAAGACGGAAGGATGGGTTTGACGCTAACAACCCCTAACAACCGCTAGTGAAACTTCAAAGATCTAGGTTGAAGCCCTACGTTCCATTCAGGGTGCAGATAATCATAGCTGGCTAGACTGCTTGGGATAGCGGAATCAAGCTATAATAAAGTAAAAAAATGAAATAAATAATAAATATCGAATAAAACTCATGATAGTATCAGGATTTGATCCGCTAGCCTCGAAACTACTAATTCAGCTGAAGCACAGAACCTTCTTCCTTCTTAATGAGTAAGCGATAAAAACGTGGATAGACTGAGCATCTAATGTAATGACGTTATAAGTAGAGTTACATAACACCTGGTTACATGCCGACCCGTGTTGACTGTAGTAGGATGAAAATCCGACTAGCAGTTGTATCATGTAGATGAGTTGGTAGAGTATTGGAGCTGAGGTTGATAAATGTATTAAAGGGAAATATAGTTATCTGAAGAGGAGGAGATCGATTAATCCCTAAAGCTTCCTTCATCTGTCCGACATTCAACACGTATAGTAACAATAATGCAACACTAGTCCGAGAAATACAGGAGACTGTATTAGGGCAAAATAGAAAGGAGTAGAAATTTGTTGAGCAAATTAAAGAAAAGTCAAGTTAATACTTTAAGATGATTATGTGCAACAAGTTGTCCCAAAAACGTCAACCAATGATGAATACTGTACTACTGACTTTTCTAATATGAACGTAGTGCTTCAAAAGCACATCTCCGTTTTGTCCTGTCCTCTAAAGTCCTATTCAGCTTGCTCCATCACTGCCCATAAACTTTAATCTCCTCCCCATCACACGTTCTCCTGCATATCATCCCCGAACCAACGCTCAACTCGTCGTTTCCCGCTTGAGGTGTGGCCTGGCAAGTGAAGTCACCCAACTGTCTCCTCAGTCTCCATCCGATCCATTTCCATTCTCTTCAAGATATTTGTTGAGAGATAGGTTCTTAATAGGTTCGTTGTCAGAATTTCTTGTCCCTAATTCTTTCTTGTCAGGCATCTGATCTTCAATATTGAGGCAGCGAAGGTGACAGCTGTGTTGATAAAAGTCTGCAGCAGGTTGTTTGAAATACCATACGTGCTTCTTCAAGTTTCAGAGGCATACAGAAGAACTGGCTTAACACTGGACTTAAAATTGAGGAATGGTAAGGGTAAAACAGAAACATATTAGTGTTATGTGTGTGGTAAGTGCACTAACATGGTATTTCTCAAATGGCACTCGAATAGGAAGCGATAGGTTGAGTATCCAAGGCTGATATAAGGATCCTGTGTATAGGAAATGAAAGCTTGTGGGAAGTTATAAGCCATAAATTGTACTCCACACTTTCCTGATACGTTTTTCTCATAAACACTTATTGAAAATGAAGACTGTTGTGCTGATGAAAAACTTGATGTAACTACAGTCTAAATATTTGAATTCAAACTTAGCATTTACACATCAAACATCAAACAGGGGGCAATGAGGAAACAGTCATAAAATGGACTCACACAAAAAACTTGGGGGATCTGGACTTCACCGATGATGATATATGTCTAATTTCCCACAAACTGGAAGATATGCAAGCGAAAAGCAACAAGTTGGAAGAAGAAACACTAAAGATAGGACTTCAGGTGAACACAGAGAAAACAGATGTGGTGATGAAGATTCCTGGGCAACACCACCAACAGCAACAACAACAACAGACAACAATCAGCCAGCATAAATGGGAGGAACCTGAAAGAAACAACCTCCTTTACCCACATAACTGGGAAGCATCGTTTCAACTACAGGCGGAACTGACGAGGATATCAAAGCAAGAATCGGAAAAGCAAGACAAGCTTTCACTACTCTCAATTCTGTGTGGAGATCAACAGCACTCAGCATCAAAAATAAGATCCGGATTTTCAACTCCAATGTGAAGTCAGTCAGTGCTACTATACGGATCAGAGACTTGGCCAGCGCGTCCTAAAGAGCATGTCAAACAAACTACAGACCTTCATTAACAGTTGTCTTCGCTCCATACTACTCAATATCAGATGGCCAGAGAAGATCAGCAACGGGGATCTCTGGGAACGAACCAACCCAGCAGGAACCGATTGTGAAACAAATAGGCAAGAGGAAATGGAGATGGATTGGCGATACTGTGAGAAAACAATGCATCAAGTGACATCACTAGACAAGCCATTGCTCGAGTGGAACCCGAAAGGGAAGCGGTGAGTTGGTCGTCAGTGCAAGGGTGACATGGAGGAGGAGGTCATGTGAAGAGGAGATGAAAACGTGTGGGCAGACTTGGAGCCAGGTGAAGACTCTAGCAGAGATTCGAACGCAACGGAGACGCACGGCTGAAGCCCTATGTTCCTCCAAGAAATTAAAGGAAACAATAATAATAATAAAAGTAAAAATTTTACTTCGTATACACTCATTTTTAGCCTTTCATTGTGCGAGTTAAAATTCAGTAATTGTATGATAACATATTTACTTTGGTTATATAAACATTTTCAAAAATCACAGGTATCTAGATAACAGTTCTGTTCTACGTTGAGACTCTTTAGCAGTGAAGAGTTATGATATTGCAACGGTAGAAGACGAAAGGCTCGGTAAAAGAAACTTTATTTGCAATTTGGTTTGCACCTTATTTTCAACACACCATTTCCATCGGTCTTCCGTGTTGTGATACTTCTCGCTTTCCTTCATATTGTGTGTGTGTGTGTTTCTTTGTGTGCTCCTTTCACGTTTCCCATGTATCTCCACAACGCTGAATAATCTGCATTCTCTGGCATCAAATCTATCTCTCTGTTATTTGATGTTTCTTATGTCGATGAACATCTTTTTATAAGAATATATACTACTGATAAACCTTTTCAGTAGCGCACGCCACACAATATCACCAGTAACTGATTTAAGCATATTCATCATGCATTCATTTGTCTTGAAGTCAGCAATCCATGAAATCCAACTTTTATCAGTTCTTCAATATCAGCGCTTCCATGAACCAATTGGATGTGAAGATGGATACTCAATAATAACATAGGTTATGTATGAAGAACGAATTATAATGAAATCATTAATCAGACTCCTGTAAACTTAATATCTAAGTATTTCAGATAATTATTGTTGACATCAGAAAATAGTACTAAACTGGAACATGTAGTAGTGTGGCGTGTGCTACTGGAAAGATTTATCAGTAGTATGTAAAGAGACGTTCATCAACAGAAAAACATCAAATAGCATGGAGATAGATTTGATGTCAGAGAAAGCAAATGATGCAGAATTGTGGAGATACATGGGAGATGTGAAAGGAAGACGAAGAAACACACACAATATGAAGGAAGGCGATAGGTATCACAGCATGGAAGATCTGTGAAAATTGTGCGTCGAAGTTAAGGTGTACATATTTTGGCTATAATGAGATACCAAATTGCAGATAAACTTTCCTTTACCAAGTCTTGTGTCTTCTACGGCTACAACAGTAAATTAGAAATTTGAAACAGAGACAGAAGTGCTCTATATCTAATTGGTCACAAATGTAACCGAAGTTTCTTTAATCTAGTTCAAACTGTTACTTCACAATAAAAATGTTAACAACTTTATTCATGATAAGGTCATAAGTGAGTAATGTTGAAGGGTTCCAAACTAGATTGATAACAGCTGTCCAGTACCTCTTGTTGCTAAGTAGTTCTCGAAATGATGTCACTTATTAATCTAACTGGAAATTGATCTAATTCCTGCAAACCAACACTTGAAAATTAGTATAGTAATCACTACTGACTGACAACAAGATGAAGTTGCCCCGAGTTCTACTAAGGAGTCTTGGAGTCCAGGTTTAGTACATAAGCAAACACTCGATGATGACACTGACTGATGGTTACGCTATACACTTTATAGACCAGTGAATTCTACCTCGGTGTCGGTGTGTTCACTAGGCTTGCCTGATAATCTTGGGGTTCTAGACTCAATTTATGGTGGGGTAAAATGTCCGTAATGCTGAAGAGTTGCAAATTAGGCCAGTACAGCTATCCAGTACGCCTTGGTTTTTATTGGTCCTGTAAATGGTGTTAATTCGTAACATAACTTGTGACTACAATGCACTCTGTAATTCTGTAGATGTCAGTCAGTAGTAAAATTCTATCCTCTTATTCAGGAATCCTCAACCAACAGTGTTCCAAGT